CTCACTAAGTGGTATTGAATAGTAATTCCCTACCAATGGGCGTTTACAAGTTACATGTCTTGGATAAAAAGTAGTAATAATAAATCATGAAAGTACAAAAGGTGAACAAGTTAGTTTTCAAAAACCATGTTGTATAGAAGTTTCCATGTTTCTGAGAAAGATGTTCCTGATTAGTTGAGCCAGTTGCTACAAACACACTTACTTGTTGGGATGATCCATTTATTAATCATATTCTGTTTCTAAGCTAGCCCCAAACCTTTCAGTGGAATTGGTATGCTTAATGTCAACTAAGTATAAAAATTCTGAATAAATCTTGTTGAATTATGAGCGTATTTCAACAAAGATAACTAAACCTGTGTGAACATTGTGCGTTGCTGTTGACGTGATTGATGAACGCTTGTTGATCTGAATTGTACGTTCAAGATCATTTAGTTAATTGTTGGCATGAAGTCATTATTATTTATCTTTGTTCAAAATTATATTTCTGAAACTATCTGAAATAGCTATGATTTACCAGTTTAGTGTAACTGATACTTTTAGTGAAGAAAGATTAAATGAAAACCTGGGTTGCAGCAGGATTCAAGCTAGTGGCCTCTAGAATACTAATTTTTGGCTCTACTCACTGAGCTACAACACCCCGCTGCCATCCAGGCCATCACTTAATTCACCTAGGATTTCGTCCACTCATAGTGCGAATGCCTTACACGTGAGATATTGAGAATCAATCAGCAAAAAACACTGGACCAAAGGTCAGTGCTTGTTGGCACTTGTCCTCAAGGCAGTTATTTGAAACTGAGTCAGTGCTTAGTTCAGAGATTGTACTACTAGGCTGCTGAAGCAGTGACTGACCTCCTTAAGTAAAGAATAATATGATGCTTTTCACGAAATGGAAAACATTTTGAGAAGAGGTTACTTCTGGTCAACAAATAATGTAACCACAGTAACATCCATGTAGAACTGATTCACTGGACACTAAACTTCTGTATCCGTTAACATGGATAAGAAAGTTTAAAATTCCGTGGCTTTTGATTTGAGTATTGTAATAAATGGAAAACCTTCTAACTGAAGGTATCCTCCTTATATAAGTTTGGATAATTTAGGCTATAAAGAAGATTTCAACTCAGGCTGAAGACGGTAATTACTTGGTGTTTTCTGGGCTTTGATGTTTGTTATTGGACGTTACATCACCAGGCTAGCTGACTTCATCAGCATTTATTTTATAAAGAAGTGAAGTATTTTCAGGTTGCATGAATGCTTAAGAAGGATACTTGCTGACGTTCAGCACTGTTGGCTTGTAAGTGCCCTTTCTTCTTTTTTTAGTCAGAAGTTGACCTTTATAGCTACTATTACTGTTTAACCTATGTTATTGACCTAGTGTCTGATTATCGATTCACCTGATTGATTACTAAATGGCTGATCCCTTCTTAGTGGTCCGCATATTGGCTGAATATTGACTTGTCTGTTGATTACTGTTTCACTGAAGTATTAGGCTTCCAGGAATCATCTTGCAGTTTTTGATCTTACTTGTTGTAGTATTTCCATATTGATGATATGTCATGCTTGACTGGCAGTTGATGCTGATAAATTCTTTGGGTCATTCTACTTCTAAATTGGTCAATATAATCATTCTGACAGTCCCTACAACTAATTTTATGGAGTATATTCCTCTTTTCTCCTTTTGATAATGTAATTTTTAGTTTACATAATATTTTCTGCAGGGATTCAGTTGGTCTGTGTACAATAGTGATACTAGATGGATGAAGTAATCAGTTGATAGTTTCTGAGACATCTTTGATGTACGCCAGAGTGATTCATTTTGTAGGCTGAAATAACTGTCATGATATGTGTTCAAGTGATGAGCACTACTTGATAAAGTTGATTGGTTAGTTATTAGTCCTGAACACTCGGTAAAAGCGATTATCTTCTGACTTTCGTAGTTGTTGAGTCTTGTCACTTGAGAATAATGCTTGTACATAATTCTTCCCATGAGACATCGGATTTTCACTATCGTAGTTCGAAACTTGATCTGTGTGTGTCACTTTTCTGTACACTTGAGTCTAGAAGGTCCCATCATGTCTTCTTCCAATAAGCAAAACTTGGAACCCCATTCCTTTCCTTTCTTCTTCGTTTGTGAATAGAATAAGTTCAAACGTTTGGTTGGTGAACTTGAAGGTGTTTTTAATTTCCGTCTTCTGAGAATTACTGAAGGGTCGCCAACGTAACGAATCCAAATTTCCATTATTATTATTTGAATGACTATTAATTCTAACTTCTGTACCACTGCTTTAACTATTAGTCAAGATAGTGGTGAGATAATGAGAATCCCTATGGCTCGTTTTTAAATCTTCATGATGAACTGACTGTACGTCATGGGAAATAGGTTAGCTAGCCCTATTTTTATCATTATTTGTCCCTTGGGTTCCTAGTGGAACATACCGCTTCACTACCATATCACCACTTCACTCTCTTCTCTGCAGTCATTTGAACCTGGCTCCACAACTGCCTACAAGCTTTCGTTTCTCCCTCACACCACCTCCTACATGTCACCCTCACCTCCGACGCCTAACTCATCGTTTCCCATTTGGGTTCCACTCGACGGCCTAGACTGACCTGATCTGCTGCGTGATGTCCCCAATCGGTATTCTCAGTGTATCTACAAAACAATACAATCCATCTCCACTCTCTTCTTTTGTTTATTCGTTCGGCGATTACTTCTCGGTTGGTTCGTTGACAACCACTCTGAGTTGTTTGTTGCTTATTCTTACTATTCTGGACATCCATCTGATCGATGTTCAGTATGGAGTGAGAGTATGCGGCGACACCTGTTGATGATGTATGTCTGCACTTTGTTCAAAATGCTTTTCGTAACACACCACCAACTCTCTCAACCATCACATAGAAGCACTGACTCACTTGACTGACATTAGTGTTGAAAATCCCGATGTTATTCACACTTTATGCTGAGTGCAGTGGAGTGCAGTGCAGTAGATCTACACACCGATTTCAGGTTAATGAAGGAAGGCCTGTCTTGCTATTTCCGATCTTGGCTTTAACGTCCTCATCTGTGCTGCTGCCACCTGTAGTTGAAACGATGCTATCTAGGTAGATAGGTATGTGGAAGAGACTACTTCCTTTCGATTTCTCCCATTCATGGTGATTGATGCTTGTCGTTGTTGTTGCTGTTGCTGGTTGAGTATCTTCATCACCTCTGTCTTCTCTACGTTCTCTTGAAGTTCCATCTGTCTACTCTGCCTCTTCTGTTAACTTGTTAGTTTTCGAGATCTGTAGATCTTCGAGTCTGTGCTACAAGACATTAGAGATAAATCATCATCATTGGCGAAATCCAAATCTTCTAGCCTTATCAAGTTCTAATAGTAATTTCATGTACTTTTAGAGATGTTGATCATTGTTGAGGGAAATAATAACTGCTTTTTTGACGACATCTGTGTTGGTTGACGTGGAAAGTGCAGTTACATCACAGGATACCGTTCTTTTCCCCATGAACTGAGTTGCTGAACTGATCGATTTCCATAAAAAAAGACAATTTGGTTTGTTGCATAAGTCTTTGAACAAATTAAGTGATGGTATGCCTGATAGTGACATTATTGGTCACAGTAGAACATTTCGTCTTAGGTACTTTCAATCAACCAGAGAACAGCTGGGCCATTTGTCTTCATTCATCACAGTTCTTTTTCGGTGATTTGGGCAGCTATGACTAGATTACTTAGTTTTCTTTGAATGTGGTTGTCCAGCTGTTTGATAGGAATTCCGTCTATCAGTTAGTAAGTGGTGTCGTAAGTGAGTTTTTCGTAAGCTTTTTCCATATGATCCACTTTGCTCATAAAACGAGTTTTCTCACTTTGTCTTCAGGTAGCATCGCAATTTTCTCTCCTGACCTTAATGAATTCAGTGTTTTCTTCTCATCTGTCCTGAGTGAGTGTTTATTTTCTTTGAGCTGTTGTAACTTTCATTACTTTTCAGTTGTTATTCCTGTCATTTTGATTGGATATTCTAAGGCTGGGCAGAAATACATCATATTTGTATCCTGCATATTAATCCTTTCCAGAGTGGATTGTATTTTGTATAGGGTCAAATTCTTACTGACAGGTTCACTATTCATTAATTTAAAGAAATCGAGCAATTTGTCTGTCAGGTTTTTCTGTTTTTTTCCCACCTCTGGTCTTCTTTGTTATATTTATGGTGATGGTCAGTTAGTTCATCATCTTTGCAGCCAGCATTGGTTCCAGCATTTTTTGTTGAATATTGATCATTCTGTTGTGTTTATTGAGTCTGTTGTTTGGATCTAATATCATTAATTACGCCACTTTTCTTCCGATATGTTCAGAGATCTTCCATCCAGTGGGACAGTTGATACGTCTTATCATTTGTTAGCCAGATATCCATTCGGAGACATTCCTACAAGAAGAAACTATTTTTAGAGTGGAACAATGTTGGCCATTTCCAAACATAAAGAAGCCCACTGTAACTGTAGTTTCTCAAGATAGTAGAGAAGATTATTACGTCAGAACCAGCTGAGAGAATATACTGAAACCAAGACCACCCACCTGAGCTCCAAATATTCTCCACCATTCCAGCAAATATATTTCCTAAACACTCATCCCACTTGAAAGTACATCACTGCAATAATTAAATGAATGTTGATGAAGTCCTTTAGCCTGGTAAAGAAACGTCCAATAACAAACTTCAAGGATGGGAGTACACTATGCGATTAACATAATTTACGTAGCTCTTCATTAAGTATCTTTACCTATTCACAATGACTGACCAACAGTGATAATGATATTTATATTGTTATAATCACTTCGATTGTTGATGTTTATTTGAAATACTTGAACTTGAGTTCAACTAATCATATTGTCACTAATCCTTTTTTTAAGACTTTCTCTAAGTAACTTTAATGCTTGATAAGAAATAATCCAAAAATCCAATTACTTAAACTCATTTTTTCTATTTTTTTCCAACTTGCTTTCACTTTCAAGATAATTGTTTTACTGAAATAATCGAAAAGATCAAGTTGTTTGTCCTAAAATCAAATGCACGCTCTCTTGGAATATCGGATGAACTACCTTTGTACATACTTCAAGCAAACCTAAATTCAAGACAATCACAGTATATACCATGCATTCATTCAAGACCCTCAAGTTCGATCGCCATGAATTCGAATAATTCAAATGGTAAGCGAAACGATGAAAATTTTCAAATCAAGAATGAATTCATAACAGGATTTCATTTAAATGATGAAGATTTTGATTTAATTATCCTTGAAACTGGTGATAGTGAGGTGAGTAAGCGTTTAGAGGATCTGTTTAATCAGATTTTAAATATGTTGAATGTCCGTTCAAAGTTTCAATCAAATTATGCGAAATACTTGAAAAACAGTGGATTAGCCTTCACAAAACGCTTGTATACACCATTGAATTGGTATTTACTAGAAAATATTATGACAGTTCCAATGAGGCAGTTAACTGAACACTCAATACTTCATATACGTGATCTACTTCCACGTTTAGCCTATTGTGCTATTGATAAAATTATGAATTTACGATTACATTGTCAAACCTTATCAAATAGTGTTCGAGCAGATTTATTTCCAAATTGTGAAATGATTCAAGCATTGGTGAAGCAGTTCTGCATTTCATCTCTCTTAACCAATTTAAAATCATCTTTAACAAATTTTTCTGTTAAATCTATGCCATCATTGGTGGTAATGAACGGTGAACATGAAGGTCAACAAAAGTCGACCAATAAGAATGAAGATGTCAAGGTGATGGAAAGTTTAAGTAGAATCAAATCAAGGCGCTTATCAAAAAGTTGTTCAGTAGTAGATCGATTTTCAAAACAGAACCTTTCAAAAGATAGATACTTTTACCATTCACTTGTATTTGATAAGACGTGTGATTTGAGCAAACAATCAGTTTATAATTACAGTATTCAATCTCTCAATTCATCAATTATCTCGAAGAATGAACTGTATCACAATATTCTGTCCAAAAAAGAAAGATATACTTATTCTAATGAATACTTACATTCAGGAAGTTTTGAGATAACCTACGATGATTGTTATAATGATGCAATCAATAAAAGATTAACTTCAAGAAGCAAGTGTTCATTGAAATCACTTTCATCGAACAGTTCTACGTTTAAAAGATGTAAACAGTGGAATGAATCAACAAATTTAACCAGTAAAACATCACAGCATGTTTCGTTTAAAGCGAAACTTTGTAGAGAAATCACTGAGAATGAAAAGACAATAAAATAAAATAAAAATTAGAAGAATTATCTGCTAATATTAGAATTTTATGATAAATAGTATTGAATAAAGCATAGGCAACGGATTTCTGAGTCAAACAGCATTTGAGTAAAACATCTGGTAATCGCAGTTCATGTGAAATTCAGTTGACAGCAGTATTATATAGCTTATGTATTTCAAAGAAGCGAATAGGTGGTGTAAAGCCTAGATTTTTAAATCCAGCGGGTTTCATTTAATATGAAACATTTTCCGTACAACCATAAGGACTGCTGGTTTAGGTTATCCTGAGTAGTCTAATTACAAATCTTGCTTTCCGCCTAAAAAGAATCACCGATTATCCCATTACTGAATAGAATAACACAGTATATAAGCAGCTTAAAATGCATGTGTTTACATTTCATTGTTTTATTTTTTTGCAGTCTTTCACATTGGTACGAATCTAAAATGTCGACTGGATACATTCTTTTGAATGGTCATTGCTGAGTGGCCAATTTTATGATGTCTAGTTCTAAGTGCTGACCAAATCCTATCGACGCACATTAATATATACATATATAGTGTAGCATGGTAGAGTAGAGCAGAGTAGAGTAGAGGACAGTAGAGTGGAGTAGAATGGGGTAGAGTAGAGTAGAGTGGAGTTGAGTGTGGTATAGTATAGTATAATTCATCATTTAAGGTATATTCTCACCTATTTAATCCGGGACAATCAAACCATAAAGATCGGCTAGGCACTATAGTACTACCTTATCGATCATCCACATCAGAGGAAATAAGACGTATCTATAAGAGTTAAGGTGACGAACACATTACATTCACACCTGTGTAAATTAAAAGATTCCGTTTCCCATTTGGAACAATGGAACTGTGTTTATAAGGTAGACTGTAGTGAATGCGATACCACATACATTGTAGAGACACCATGCCAAGTACTAACACTTCTAACCGAACACCGTCAAGTTGTAAGAATTATTTTTATTATAATTTGTTCCTTGGGTTCCTAATGGAACATAGGGCTTCACTAGCACGTCTCCATTCCACTCCGTTCTCTGCAATCTTTTGAACCTGTCACCACGACTGTCCACAAGTTCTCATTTCTTCCCCACACGATCTCCTCCATGTCACTCTCCGATACTCAACTCACCGTTTCCCATCTAGGTTCCACTCGAGTGACTAGCGTGGGGGGTGATGTCCCCAATCAGCCTTCTCAATGTATGCCCAATCCATTTCCACTTCCTTCCAATGCATATTTGTTGAGCGATAGGTTCTTGGTTGGTTCGTCACCAGGCCAGAGTTCCTTGTTGTTGTAAGAAACTGCCAAAGAATTCCTATGACCTAAAAAACTTGAAAAAACTCTGCCATCGTGGCTCATGTGTTATATTCAGGCCATAAAATATCGTTCGAACAGACTGAAGTCCTGCAGAAGAGTTTTCTTCCTCACAAAGAGCGGACCATTGTGGAAGCTTTACACATCTGTTCATACCCTTCTTTGGTCAACAGAAAAGATGGACTAGACATCTCACAAATATGGTAAACAATAATGACTCGCACAGACAGTTGCAAATAATAGATGGAGAGAAGGTAGAATACAATTTCATTCCACTGTATTCCACATGATTTATTCTGAATTCATTCATGTTTGCATGGTTCCCAGTGCTATTTCGTTTAATCGTCTTAGTCACGTCGAAAAATATTGGTTGTATTTGACCAACTTGACCTCGCATAGTTAACTAATTCACTGGTTACTAGCCGGTCCTAAGTCCGGATAAAGAGGGAAGGTTGGGGATAGAGCTAGCAACTATACGCCGGAAAACCAATCCAAACGAGTTGGGCGTCCGAAGGTGACATAGATGAGATCTTGTGAGGAAGAAATGAAAGGCTGTGGGCAGTCGTGGATCCCGGTTGAAAAGACTGCAGAGAACAGAGTGCAGTGGAGATGTGCTTCTGAAGCCCTGTATTCCACTAGGAACCCAAGAGACAAATAATAATTTGACCAACTTGCCCAACCCCTTTGCGTAATACTTTATCGACCTACTATTTTCATCAATCTTACGCTTCTTTCTGAGTTACATGCATCCTATGAACCATTTTATATATTACTTAATTCATTTTGTTATCATTCATACTTTAACCGTTATCAAAAGTTCCTATATCGTTATTACTATTACTATCATTATTATTAACCATCATATATTGTTTGATGTTCAAATATTCATGTCTCCAAAAAAGTAATCTATTCTGAGTGGTTAACGCTTTCGCCGTAAAACCCGAAGGTCATGAGTTCGATCTCTAGCCTGGTCGTGGGTGCGTACTGGTGACGAATCTCGCACTAGGACGAAACATCTGTCAAGTGCTCCCACATGTCAATGGTTCCCCAACTGATGTCATTTCATGATGAATACTACCTCTAAATCTATTCTTTTCCACCACTAATGACTCACAACCCTATTGTACTTTTCATAGTTAAACTAAATTTCCCCACTCCATTTTTTTGTACCTTACTTGCATAGCTGGAAAAAGCCTCTCGAACCGACTTGCTAATTCACTTAACTGCATTACATTGATCTTCGTTCCATATTACGATGCAACTGAATGATCGTAAAGGTCACCATTTGTACCAAAACTTGAATATTAAACCTGAAAACTTAATGCCAGATTCATAGCCTTGAAAAGGATCTTTCTAGCAAGATCGAAACGTTGAGAAATCATACAAAATATTTGCTTATTTTGCTACTTGTTCTAATATACTACACCGGGATTACACAAGTAAAAATACACCTTATACAATGAATCATACTAACTCAGTGCCCAAGTTTTTTCAAACCACCCAGTCTATCGTTGTGCAGGATACATTCAAACAGTATGGTATAGTGTAGTACAGTACAAATAGCTTCGCGACATGCTTCAATACACTGGAAACCGTTTTTATCTGTTACTACCATATACGCGCATATTGCTCAGGAGCTAGAAAACTGGTTTTGTACTTCAGATTTAGTGTTCATAGGTATGCAGCAGTAACGTTGAGGTTATCTGAGGTGCTGTGACTGCTTGATTTATGCAGCTGAATGATAGGAGAAGACAATATCAAAATTAAAGTCTCTGTTCTTTTCGTACGGGCCAAAGATTAAAAGTTCTAGTGTTCGAAGTTTGCGAACTGTTGTTACACTTGAAACTTCCCAATCGGTAAAATGACCGAGAAACCTTGTTTATTTTTATTTATACAAAGAAGTATTTTTGTAAAAAGCTCGAATCCGTGATCATCTTATATTTCCACCATTTCCCGCATACTAGTTGGTCCACCAAAATGTGAACATCCATGTGGTTGCGCCAAGGCGTGAAACTGCTTACCGTTCTGGTTTTGGAAATTCGGGATAAGTGTTCAGTTATCCTAAATGTTAGTTCACAAATATCCCTATTCATAACGGGCACATTATGCTAAGAAGAGCTGTAGCTTGTTAGTCTACACACTTGGTTATAATTCAGTAGGTCATAAGTTTAAAGTTTTCCCTAACTCAAGAGATTTGGGTAGCCAGATGGTATAATTCTCCTTCTTACAACAGGTTCTTACATTGTCTGTTGCACGAACATATATATTATACCCGAGAGAGCCTGTTAGAATGTCAGTAACTAAAGGTGGTAGTTAATTCACAAATGTGAGCTATTGGCGTCATATAGACGTTTGGCAGTATCATATGTGTAACAGCAGTAAAGCTTCCCAACAAATTGACACTTGAAACAGCTACTTCTGTTTAAAGATTTCCAAAACACAAACTGTCAGTTTTGAATGAAAAAATATCCTTAATAATGAAATTTTACAAACAAGGCTATAATTTCAAGTTAATTATCTTCACTGACTGATATCATTCAAAAAACTATTATGAACCGAGAAGCGCTAAATAGCCTTTCCATTCGAGATTAGGACACCTCAGAAGTGTGAATCCGTTTTTAATCCCTCAAACTAATTTATAGCGCAATCCATATAGAAATTAGCTTATCTTATCACAATATCAGACATAGGTCAAAAGAATTCTAATTGCATTGTACTATAGAATGACTGCCGGAAATAGAATCTGACTCACCGGGTTCTTACTTACCCAATGACAATGTGCCTACTGAAACCATGAGACGTTTGTATTCTAGCTGCCATTGTGTTAGCGATGCAAATTAACTGAATTTCGTGCATCCCATAGTTTTCAGTGGTTGTTTATTTAGTGTTAAATTTTGCTTGGAATTGTTTACAGGTAAAAACGATGGTCATCATATACAACGTGTTGGCAGTCAATGATAGAATTTACAGAGGTTAGATGAAACATTCTTGTCTGCCAAAGCTTAAACTACTCCAATCACGAACAAATTAGTCGCCTTTTACGCAAAGATTAGTTTAGTATGAAGTGAATAAACAGATATGTTGTTCACAAGGACTTACTAACTGTATTCATGGTTTCAAGACTAGTTTTTGCTAATGGGGGATTATGCAAATAAATACCTGAACTAAGCAATGTATATTGCTCTATACCTATGTTTTTAACTGATGAACGAAGAGTCAAACTTTTAAACAAGAGTTCTCACACCAATCAGTAAAATGTACACTAAATTTGTAGCTGAAAGTAACAAGTGTCGACTACCTCCTGCTCAAATTTTGGAATCCACTTTCAGAGGGTACAAGAAACATGGGAATAATGTGTGAAGTAAAAAAAATCATACTAATATTCGGAGACAACCAACCTACGCGCAGGAGGAAACATAATCAACATATACCTCCGAAGTTAATAATAAATAAACGACGTTGAAAAAGTTTTTTGTTAAGATCATCATCTATCAGTAATCATCAGAAAAACAAATTTACTAGATTTCCGTATACATATGTATTAATGGAATCCGGAAAGTACGCAAAACAATCAAAGACAGGAATTGTTCCTGAAAAAAATTAGAACTTTGAGTGATGTATTTCCCTGAAGTGTATCATTGTGTCAGTTGTTTGGACGACTTTTCTGTAAAATGGTAAATATTGG